TGTACATTGAAATCGAAGTGACACATACTGAATTATATGACAGTTACAAAATATTATTTTTTATTTAAATTAAAGTATTTTTAAATTCCACAATCATCTATGTTTACATTATTTTAATTTGAATTCCATTTTAAACATATTTAAAAATTAATAATTATGTTATTATATTTATAATTAAGTAAAGATTTGATTTTATTTGAACATATTTATTTAACAAATAATGAAACAATTTATAATATACATAATATCAGCATAAAATTTTTATTAAAGATTATTTACCCTTTTATTTAAATTTATTTTCTCAACTTTAATTACACTAATTCCAATTTTCTTACATTACATATAAGATTTTTATTTTATTTTAATTATTTCAACCTCCCTTTCAATGCAGGTGTATTAACTAATTATTATATAATATTATGTTGTTTAGCATCTATCAACTATATATTTGATTTTTTTTTAATTTTGAGATATAAGAAAATCTCATAATTTAATCAGATATATAATATTTGAGTGATGCTAGCAGTTATCTACCAGGGTAGAAAAAAAAACTGTATAAAAAATTTTGATAAGGGGAAATTAAACATAAATATTTAACGTTATATAAAGTGAGATTAATTAATGTTTTCTAAGTTTTGTATACATTTAAAACATATCATTTCATATCTCCATATCTTTAATCGTTGTACGCTTCGCATACATGTCGAGGGTCCAAAAGGGTAGAGCCCCCTGACGGTGTTCGACTGCAAAGGTTGCGGGGTCAAGGGGCAGCGCCCAAAAACAAATTTTAGTTGTGAGGATATTTTTGGAATTCAAATTAATAAATAAAATGATGAATTCTCTTTACTATTTATCTTTGTATTTGACTCATGGTTCCCTAACAATAACACCTCTATATAATGTGTTTAATTATTCTACGGGCAATTGCCTAAAGATCATAATATTTTAAAACTTTTAAAGGAGTCAATTGCCTACAAATCTTTATAGTAAAGATTAAAAAATAGATCGAGGACTTTAAGAATTATATAATATTTTTTTTTTTTAAGCCAACTTCGCAGTTTGCCACAACGCAAGGGGATAAAATTACAGAGTCTGTTAGGGAAGCTTTTCGGCCTATTACAAAGGCGCTATAGGCTAACCTTTTACACTTGTTGAAGGCAGTTTTGGGCACATCTTGGGGCTGAAGAGGTAAAATTTCCCCATAATAGTCAGGAGAGGAATTCAGCCTGTAAGCAAAGCATCACAACAAGTGTTCGAAGCTCATTGTTTATTCCCAAATTATGAAGGCATTTACGTCATTATATAACTTAAAAATTAAATTAAATAATCAAATTAACAAAAATTTACAACGTTATAAATATCTTATCTATTTTATTTAACTAAATATATGATTGGATAGATTATTTGCTTTTAAATCTTTTTTATCAATCTAATGCTTACTTGAAGTAGAGTAAATCTGTTATTAGGAAGACCTTCTGTAAAAATGTATGCTATTTGATGTATTGTGGAGAGATGCCTCACAACAAGAGTGCTTGCTGTGATGCATTCACGAATAAAGTAATGATCGATTTCAATATAATTGATCCTTGCATGAAATATTGGATTATTTGTTAATGAAATTGCTGACACACGTTGCCACAGCAGACGAGTGTTGGTGGTAGAGGAGAAATCTGAAATTCACAGAGAAGTCGGCCAAGCCAAATAATTTTTGTAGCAGTAGAACTAAGTGCTCTATATTCAGCCTCTGCTGAGGAGCATGGAACGGAAGATAGCTATTTGGCATACTAAGATATGATGGTTGATCCATGAAAAACATAAACGTTATTTGTTATTTTTAAGTACAGTATGTTGCCAACCCAGTCAGCATCCACAAAAGTTGATAATGTTAAAGAACTAGGTTCAATAGATAGACCAAGATCAGCAGTGCCTTTAATGTATTTGAGAATGTGTTTCAATATATTGAAGTGTTAATTTTGAGGTAAATGCATATGTTGATAGATTTGGTTGACAGCAAATGATAAATTTGGTCTTGTTAAAGTGAGATATTGTCAAGTCCTACTATACGGCAATATAGCAATGGATCTGCAAAAGGTAAAGCAACGGTTGTAGTAGCATCTAGTTTGCTGGAGATTGGATTGGAATCAATCATACCAGATCAATTTAAGACTGTAGTGACATAAGTATACTGATGCAGTAATAGACTATATTTGGTTTTAGTCACCTGTAGTCCAAGAAAATATGAAGGATAACTAAGATTCTTAAATTTGAATTTGTTCTGGAGGTTGGAAATTAGTACAGAGATTGTTTGAACATTGTTGCGCATAAGTAAAATGTCATCTCCGTCTACTAATGAATAGATTAATGTAGATTGTTTTGATTAGTTTAATAAAGAGGGATCTGCTGTGCTCGAATTAAAACCCAGTGAAGAAGATGATATGTGAATGTGGAGAACTACTGATGAGGAGCCTGTTTTAGACCATAGATAGCTTTGCTCAGTTTGCAAACATAGTTTGATGCTTTGTGTTTTTAAAACCATGTGGTTGAGCCATGCAAATAGTCTTTAAAAATTACTAATGAAGAAATACATTAGAAACATCAAGTTGGTTGATGAACCAATTTTTGTTGATAGCTATGGATAAGAAAATATGAATGGTTTGTATCTTAGCTACAGGACTGAATGTATCTGTAAAAATCCAATCCATATTGTTGTTGATAACCTTGGGCTACTACACGAGCCTCAAGTCTAGCAATAGATCCATCATCATGTGGTTGAGTACGAAATATCCATTTGCAACAAATAATATTTTGTGAATTTTGAGGAACTAATGCCTAAGTTTCTTGCATTTGTAAAGCTTGAAATTCATCAAACATTGCTTGCTGCCAATGTTTGTGTTTAACAGTAGATGTATAGCTGCTAGTGGGATCTTCAGGATTGGTTGAGTGAAGAAGTGTAAATATATGTTTTGGTTTAAGGTGACCAGTTTTGAATTTGATAAGAATGGAGTGAGTTGGAGGTATAATAGGTGGTGTGGAATGATTAGAAGAGCGGTGAGAATTAGAAGTAGAAATTTATAGGGAAGATTGTGGGTAGAACAGTTGGTGGAAGTATTGGAGAGTGGTTTATGGGAGGAGTGGAAGAAATGTTCGAATATGGAGAAATGGGTTAAGGGGAACTGGATGTTGGAACTAACGTAAGCGGAGGTGTGTGAGAGGAGATGGTAGTTGAAGTTAATGAAGGGATTACTTGAAGATGGATTGTAAGGAAAAATATTTTCATGGAATTTGGAAAGAATGGATGTGCAAACTTTACTAGCTAGTAGGAGTATGAAAGCAGCGATAAACTTTAGTGTTGTTTGAATATCCAAGAAAAATAGATGATAGAGCTTTGGGAGCAAATTTGTGATGAGTATGTGGAGGTAGTAGAGGATAGCACAGACATCCTAAGGATTTGAGGTGTTTATAATCTTGAGATTAGTGGTGGAGCAGTTCATAGGGAGATAAATTGAATGTGGTAGGGGAGGGGATTCCATTTATTAGATAAACAGTTGTTAAAGTGGCATAAACCTTAAAATTATAAAGAAGGTCAGCATCAAAGAGTAGAGTTCTTGTTGTTTCAATAATATTTTTGTGTTTCCTTCAAATGAGTGTACTTCAATTCCCTGAGTTAAAAACTACGAGAATCAAATGAGATAGAGCAATTGTTGTTAGTTGCGAATTGTTTAACTGATAATAGATTATGAGAGATGTTGGGAACATGATATAAGGGGTGGAGAACAAGCTTAAGTGAATGGGTAGGGAGAAGACCTTGTCCAGTGATAGCAATTGGCAGTGTCTGACCATTTCCAGCTTATATTTGTTGAAAGCCTTGATAAGAATGAGCAGAATGCAACAATGATGCTAAAGTCAAATGTGATGTGGCTCTTGTATCAAGAAACCAATCAGGAGTAGTTGAAGTACTAGTTGTTTATAATGCAGTGGAGTTTTGTGGCTGATATGATAAATTTGTCTGAAACCAGCAAGAAGCAGCCGAGTGTTCACATTTGAAACAAATCTAACATTCGATAGAACGATTGTTTCTATTTCCTCCACCTGCATTGTTCCGGCCACCACAATTGTACGGACATCCACAAGTGAAATTAGTATTTGTTCCTCAGCAGCGACTTGAAAATGTATTAAGAGCTACATAAGTGTCAATTATAATTGCTTCACATAATGATTCAACATCTAAGTTGATTTCTTCACTACATAAGTGAGTATAGATCATCAAGGTTGATAGGATGGAGTTAGTTCGAATGGCTTTTTTTGAACCCATTGTATGAATAAGGTAAACCATTCAAAGTATATAAGATGATACACTCTGAATCAAGACAGCTTCCAACAGCATTAATCACATCTAGTTTGATTTGAGCAAAGAAAAGTATTGAGTCATAGTCATGTCTTTCATAGTAATATAATGCAACTCATTCTTGAGTTGTAGAAATGTGGATTGATTTGTTGATGTTAATCTTTTATCGATTGTTTGCCAAACATCATAACAATTATGAAGATTCAAAACATAGGGTAATAAAAAAGGGAAGATGACTGAGTATAATGCTTCTGTCAAATTTTGATCAATTAACATCCAATGATGATACTGTGGATTTGATGAGGGAACTTCATCAGTACTGAAAAGGTATTTGGTTGGTTTTGAGGTGCTTCCATCAAGAAAGCCATCAAACCCATTGGCTTTAAATACTTGGAGTACATGAGATCTCCACACTGGATGATTCTCGGTTGTTAAGGGAGAATGAACTACATTTTTGAAATTCTTCATAAGAAACTTTAGTTGGGTGGAGATGTGAAAATCTGACATAGATGAATTGATAATGTTGGATGAAGAAGATACTAAAGACGGGGATGCTGTAGCAGTCATTTAAACCCAGTAGATAGATAATATTTGAGTTAGAAAGAAACAAGACCTTAAGGCAGTAGCTCTGATACCATGAAGAGAATGCTTAATCAGAGAGGATAAGTATTCATTTCAAGAGACAATGTAGAACAATAGAATAAGGTGAAGTAAACAAAGAATATTGCAGGTAAAGAAGTAAGAGTAGAAGATGTAAAAACAGAGCTATCATGAAACGAAGCAGAGAACAGTAAGCAACGGTACTGATGAGCAGATAGGTAACATCAGAGTAGGAGGAAGTGGGAAAACTTCTCTGTGTATGAAAATGAATTGCTATCATGAAAGTAGGTGCCTGGCATGTTGCTTTGAGCAATATCTGTAACAGTATTTGTAAAAAAAAAATTAATAAATTAAATTAGAAGCTCACACACTGTATATGTAAGATTCGAATCTAAGACCACTTAATTGTAAAACTAAAATCTCAACTACCTCAACTAATAAGATGAGTTGCGATTTTATTTCTATAAAACCAACTTAAAGGTTTCACTAACGAAGCACCACACCAGTCATCTTCAATGAGCTAATAAGCAAAATTAATGCAAGAACACACTAAAGCCAAATCAAGTTACAGATACTAAAAACCAATTAGCAAGCAAGTGTTCTATGTAATATTAAAATAATCAAAGAGAATATTAATAGAATTTTTAAAAAATAAAGAAAACATGCTCACAGTCGCCTTCCAATAACTATACCTATTCAGGTGCATTACTTAACAAATAAATCGTCAATAAGTAAAATACCATTAAATTCAACCTATCAAATGATGCAGATCTGGATATGAGAGTTACTTCTCATATGTTGAAGTGGCATACAATCAAAACTTAAAATCTAGTGCTAAAGAGCAAGGAGACTCAAGTGCTTTTAAAGGCATATAGAGAATACTACTTTGATTAACAAGCTTGTAGCATCTTTTTAATATTACACTGTATGTAGAGTAAAAAAAGATTGGTCCTTAGCCATGGCTTAATTTCTTGGAATGCAGTTATGATGCACCAGTTGAATTTTTTAGGTAAAGCTAATCAAGTTTCATTAACTATTCACTACATTATGTTTATTTATGGATATAAAGAGTGTTTGATTGAAGGATTAAGGCTTCATTTGAGATGGTTTTTTTATTGTTTTTTAAAGTTGCCTTTTAGCATAAATTTTTTTTAACAAAAAGCTGCAGCAATCCCAAACGAAGCCTAAGTTATTGTTCATCAAGAAAATTTCATTATTTTCACTATATGAGATAAGATCAATTCAGAAGTGTTTTTTTTTTTTTATTCTAACAGACAATTTTAATGTTAGAGTTGAGGACTAAAAAGTGAAAAAGTAATACTGATAACCTTTAAAAAGGAAGCATTTTAGTAGCTTTCCATCCAAGTTCACAGAAGAACTCTCCTTATAACATTTCGATACAATTTGACTGAATCATTATTCTAAATATAAGGATGTTGAACACATTTCTATGCACGGGACAGGATTCTTACAGATCCATAGTAGCTCAAAGCTTTGAGGGCTTAGGAAAAATATCAGGAGTGAACTTTTGAGCAGCACTCAAACTTCCTTTAATCTTCATAGCTCCCCTGTATGAATCCAGAATAAGGATACAATAAAAATCAAAACATTCCTTTAAAAAGTACAGAATTTGATAAAGCAACGTCGATAAACTTCTACCTTATGAATGCAATCTGAGGGTTCATTTTCCCACTGGCGATAGCGAGAAAATCGTCGTCCTTGAAGGAGAAAGTGGCGTCGGGTTTCCCCTCAAAAGCGCCTAATGGATACGAAGAAGAAGAAACCAACGCCAAAATTTTTTAAAAATTCGAGAAGATGAGAACAAGAGGGGAATTAGGAGGAGAGCGAGACCTTGGGTGACTTTGCCTTCCCTGAGGTCGACAACGTAGATCACTTCGTCGACTCCAATCTTCTTCTTGTGCAGAAAAAAAAAAGGCGGGGCAGATTAATTATAGTGATTAGGGTTAGGAAGAGAGAGGAAGGGCGGCAATGAAAGACCTTAGGGGCGATGTTGAGCTGATAGACGAGGCCAATCTTCTTGGTGAGGTCTTTGCCGGCGTCGGTGGCGAGATGAGCTTTCATCTGATCAAGAAGGGCGGCCGATTTTAGCAAGATCCCAGGTCTGGCCATTGGTTTCCTTCAGTCTGAAGCCGCGATACAATTTATGATGAGATGAGAGAGAGGGAGCAAGAGAGAAGCTGATCAAATATGCAACAAAGTTGGGAATTTTGAGCGAGTAGGCAGAGATGATTCCGTATTTGCTAGGTGAAGTGACCAGAGGTGGGTGCATATTAAATAAGTTCATGTGACGTGAAGTTTTATATGTCCAAATTGCTTACCATCTACAGAAATAATTTTTTTTTTAACCATCTACAGCAATAATATCATAGTTTATCTCACGATGTAGGGTTAAGTTGCTTACGGTGTAGTGTAAATAGTTTGAAGCTATAGAATTAATTTTTTAAGAAAAAAGAACAAGAATGAGTGATAGACGGAAACTAAATCCTAATTGAAGTCCCCAATTCTCAATAGCACGTCGCCTCCACCAAGACCTTTGGCATCCTTATTAGTCCTACTCATTTCTTGCTTAGCCTGTGGTGTAAATGGATCGAGATGAAAGTAAGCCTAGCGAGTGAGGAATTCTTCTGATCTGGCTGCCTTAATATAGAAATGAGCGGCAAAAACTTCCATTCAGCTTAAATATAGAAGAGCGAAGGTCAACCAATACTTCCCCCTCTTAGCATTTTTTACTAGGATTCCTGATCGGCACATCGCCTCCTTCTGCTTGCTCGTTTCCACCCTAACTTTACCTAATCCGTTCCATTCACCCAAATTAGGCTGACGTTAAGCTCTTATAAATGATGGCTCCAAAAGCTCAGCTTTCCCACCACTTACCTCTTCGCCCCCCTCCATTTTGGGAGTGCTATCAAAGATAATTACTCTTCAATAACCCTTAAATTTGAAATGTCTATTAGTCATAATTGTCCCGAGTGCGTCCTTCTTTTCTCTCATCTACTTCACAACACTTAAAGAGAATGTCTCCTTCATGGATGAAGAGGTTGATGAAGTCGCCAAACACTTGAGTGATGTAGCACATGAAAGTGGCTTTATCATTAGATGAAGAGCAAGAGCATAAAAAGCAGAAACCATGAAGAGCGAGAACAAGAGAAAGTGCACATGAAGAAGTAGTATTCGCTTAGTATAATATTTTATGTATTTTCATGTATTTTTATGTATTTGATTTTGTAATTGTTATGTGGACTTCATGTTGATGTATTTTGGCTTTTTGTTAGTGCTTAATAGATTAAGTCCAAGACATGAAAAAGATGCAAGGGTTGGCCATGCTAGTATGCATGAGAGATGAAGATGATTATAGGTGGTTGCTAGTCGATTCTAATAAGGGGCCAATCTCTCCCTCCATTCTTTTTCCCTCTTTATTTTGAATTTAAAAGAATGGATGTGTATTTTCATGTGTTTTTTATTATTACTAAATTTTCTAAGATTGAAATTAAAGAAAGATTCTATTTTCTTACTTGTTTTAAAGAGAATTTTCAAGTGGATTGGAGGCTTGGTGGCCATCCATACTCAAGAGGATTGGGTGATCTTCTTGAACCTCTTCTTTGATAAGTACAATTTTTTTCATGTTGTTTACTTAATGTAATCATGTTCAGATGTAGTCTACATATTGTGTTCCATCCTAAAAAAAATCCCAAACTCATTTCCATCTCACAAAATCTATGCTTGAATCCAAATTACTAAGGCTACCTAAGACATGATATTTTTCTGGTCTAGTTCTGTTCCTGCTAAAATTTGAACAATCAAAACTCCATTAAACCCATCAAAATCTCCAAATATGTATCCAATATCTCATATTTCAATAATCATGAATTTATTTGAGGTTGTTCTAGTCAAAATCTTAGAAAGTAATCAAACCAACTTGTAATTTCTTATTCTTTTTTTTTTCAACCTAGTAACTTCTTTTCAGACCCATAAAAATCCAAAAAAAAAAATTCCACAAAAACAAAAACTTTTAGATATTATCTAGATGATGCCCTTGAGCCATTCCATGAGTAATTTATGAAATCCACTTGATCTATAAATGTCCACAATAAAATAAAAAAACTTTGTCAACCTATTGTACATCCAAAGCACAGTTGGCCCAATAACATTTTCAATCCTTATCAAACTCTCTAAAATTAAAGGAGACATCCTCACCTTGATTTCAGGTTCTATATAGGAGGAACCGTTAGAAAGAAAGTTGACATCTATTCTAGGTAGATTGCAAAATTTTTGTCTTACTACCTAAACTACTTAAGCGTTATCCCTACCATGAAATTAACTCCTCCAAATTATCCTTAATTATTTGTATTTATCTTAAAAGAGTTCTCCATTTACAAATTAGTCATATCAATTGGTGGATGGGCATCCTAAATTTTAAATGAAGCCCAAGTTTATTGGATTTGGATATCTAAAGAGGAATATCCATTGGATAGAAGTTGGAGTTCAATTTCTAATTAGATTGCATGAATTCTGAATTACTATCTAAACTCATTAATCCTTACCTCCACCTTCAAACTAAACTCTTCCAAATTAACCTTTACTCTTCTAATTATTGCAAGAGAATCTCCCATCCACCAATTAAGCTCCACCATCATACACAATCACCATATTTAGTATCAGAGCAAATCATAAAGGAATAATGAAATACTTGAAGGAACTATAAGAAATCATTTGTAAAAGTATTATTAGTAAGTTTTCATATTTGCATTTAGAACATTAAAACTATCAATAACTCTTTTTAGAGTTTTTAAAACCATGATGTCCTAGTTTGTTAATATTTTATCTTTATTAAAGGATATTTTGAAAGAGGTGGTTAATGCTCAAAATGAATTTTAAAAAAATAATATGAAAATTAGGAATTCATTGAATGGTTAGAGGGATCAAATGTTAAGTAATAATTTTTTGTGAACTAAATGAAAATGATATTAATTTTAATCACATGAAATATATCTTGAATCCCCAATTGAAGTTGAATCTCTTATTCAAGTAGATATAGTTGAGATCAAAGCTCTCTAATGTTTATAATTATATCTTATGGCCATCCACTCACCTTTAATTTTCTTAAACTAATATCATTTGGTTTTTATGCTTATATGATTATTACAATGATATTATTCGATAGTAAATATAAATAAATTATACCATCCTTAATTTGTTCACTCTGCTCTTAGTGAAAGTGCTTTGATGACACTTGAAAGTTCGACAGGGATGTTAAGCCCTAATGAACTAGTCCCAAGGCTAACTAAGAGGGGGGTGAATTGGTATTTTAAAAAATCTTTTAAGCCAAAAGCATAAACTTAAACCAAAACCAAGATTCACCAGAGAAATCAAAGTACAAAAATTAAATGCGGAAGCAGTAATAAAGAACATAGAAATTTATAGTGGTTCATTCAACTCGACCTACATCCACTCCCTGGAGGTGCCCTCAGAGTATTGCACTAAACTTAGTGTCTCTCCTTTTTCCCTCACAGCAAAGCGGAGAAGCCTGTACAAATCTCCTTTCCACCAACCTAGGTGAGGCAGAAAATCCAACTCCTTTTGCTTTCTCCAGAAGCAGGCAGAGAACCCAACTCATTTTACTTCCTTCTGATGCAGGTAGAGAACCTTAATCGGATGCTTAAGTAGACCTCTTTAAAACCCTCAAGGAACTAGATATGATGACTGGAGAAGATGACGATGGATCCTTACTTGGAGCAACATTTTTGAAACCCCTCACAAACTCTCCCTCATAAGATCCTTTCTCTCTCTCCCTTGCTCTCCCTCTCCTCTTAGCTCTCTCAGGTCAGAACAATAACAAAAGATTATCTCTTGGGTAGAACAAGAGGTCTTAAATAGAAGTTCTTCGGAATAGCTCTTAATTACAACAAACTGACTTTATCATCCATGGTAATATAAATATCATCCTATACGATCAGTACAAATTAAGCTCAATCAGCTAGGATGATTTGGGATAATTAGAAGGTTTTTGTTCAAATCTTTCAGGCCGATAGTATATCGTTCTATACGATTTGTACAAATTATTGAATATCACCCAAAACATCGCCCTGAATAGAAGCTGGCTGATGTTTGATCGTCTAGGAACAAGTAAGGTTTTTGAACTGATCGTCCTGGCCGGTCCTGCGATCGTCTAGGATGATATGATCATGAAATCAAACCTTAATTACTTTCCTTAATTATCAAATTAATTTAGGCATAATTATGTTTTGTCATCCAGGATGATGTTTTGGACAATGTCCAAAAAATAAAAGCTACCTAAAAAAATTTGGTGGCTGATTCTTTCTAGTTTGAGCCTATCATCCCGGCTGATACGAATATAGTTTAGGATGATGCGCTTAATGATGATTGCCTTAACTAGGATGCCCTAATTAGGGTTTCTATTTTTAATAAATCGTTCAGGACAATTTGTGGATCATCCCGGACGATATGACCAAAAACAACAAACTCTAAAAAATAGTTAGAAAATCTCCTCCAACTGTGTGTGTACAAGGTTACTTAGCATTAGTAACCACATCATTTATAATTAACTCAAGAAAAAAGAAAAGATTACAAACTGACTCGGACTTAGTTCACCCAATCTTGAGCTGGTTCAAATTATCGTTTGATCTTATGGTCATAAAATGTTAGTAGGCAAGACAGTCATAGAGAGGTAGAAGTGTTTGCTATCATCAAAATTTTATTTCCTGAAAATAGATTCGCAAAAATCTTCCCCTTTTTGATGATGGCAAACACAAAAATAATTTAAGCAGTTTAATATAAACAATGTGAAGAAAAACATAGTTCAACTATCCAACATAAAAACACAACATAATAAACAATACACCTACTCAAAAAATAGTACAAATTAAAAAAATACAACTACCCCCCCTTTTGACATCACAAAAAGGAGGGAAAAAGAAAAACAACACATAATCTAGAAAATAGGAGAAGACTAAAACAATGAAAACAGATTAAAAGAAAGACAGCCCTGATTATCCGTAGGAGGAGGTGGTGAAGGTGTTTGTGGCTGAAAGTAACTGGAAAGAGTCGCAAACTACTTCCCAAGACAAGCTAATACCTAAAGGCTTCTCCGCCTATTCCATTGTGAAAAATTAAAATGCTGAAGCAGTAAAAAGAACATAAGGGTTTATAGCGATTCGGTCAACTTGACCTACGTCCACTCCCTGGAGGCGCCCTCTAGGTATTGCACTAAGTAAGTGTCTCTCATTTAGCTCCCACAGCTAGGCGGAGAAGCCTTTACAACCAACTCCTTTTCACAAA